GTCTCTACCTTGAAAAACTAGGATTTTAAGAACGCAAAAACCAGAGAAAGCATGGGGAAAGCAGTTCAACATGTAAGCAAAGTGACTGAAATGATGATAGAAACATATCTATAGCCTCACAATAGCTAGCTTTAGTTTATGGTGCGAGAGTAAAGGTGGGTAAAGGGAGTGTGTTGTGAGTTTGTGGGAGGAAGGAAGAGGAGAGAGATGGAACAATGGAGGGCAGGGAACAGGAGTTGGCAGTGGAAACATGAGAAGGAACTACAAATCATCAAAGAGAAAATGTATGAAGTTCAAATGGAAAAGGCAGTGGGCCAAAACAGCAGGTATCTAGGTGTTGCTGATGACCTGGGCCTTACCACCAGTGCTGTCAGCCTCGCTCAGTTTAGGAAAACGGCTCTCAGTCACCTACTCAAAGCTGTGGGAGGAGAGTGATTGCCATTTGCAAGATTTGTAAAACTTGAAGTCTTGCTGTAAGAGGAAAGGAAGAGGTATAGTACTTTACCAAGGACTGGCTGATCCAGTAGTAGTGTGTTTATGGTGCTGGATACAGGGATCAGCAGAAACGTCAAGCCTGTTACTCTAAACTGTAGAAGAACAAATTAGTGGAAGGGCTGCCACTTCTAGGTTTTCAGTTGTTTTTTCATTAGGAAATGTCCCAGTCATGTATTACTGCTACAACTTAACTAGTGGTAACAACGTTGGAAGGAAGGAGGCAGGACTTTCAGCTAAGGTGTACCGATAAAGATTTTCTTGGCCAGTATTAATAGCCAATTATTAACTAGTCATATCAGCTGATACTGATCCTATAGCTGATTTACAGAAATGCAGGTGGGCAGTGTAGAGAGCAGCACCCTGCAGGTAAGTCTGTGGAGGAGAAGGGGTTTGGGGGAGGGATGGGGCATGAGGAGGACAGATCAAGCTGAGGGAGTGAGTGGGGCAGGGGCTGTGTCTGGGGGCACTGCCCAGCCAGAGTGGTGAATGGTAGCCTGGGACTGGGCGGGGAGCAGGATGGAGCTGTGGGCGGTTTGTCTAGGGGGTATGGGGAGTGGCTCCCTGCTGTTGTGTGCACTCCCTTGGGGAGGCATGTGCCCCCCTGAATTTGTGCACAGCATGGATGAGGGCTGCTTGCTGGGGGCTCGGGGCCAGGGGTGGTGCTAGCTTCTTCCCAGCTGTGGGGGCTGGGCCTGGAGAGGGTGGAAGTGGGGTGGGCTCAGCTGTGGGGTGGGTGGTAGTGGTAGTGGCAGTGCTGGGAGGGGGGATGGCTTCAGGGGAGCTAAGGCAAATTTTGGGATGACAAAGCCTCCCCTAGCACTGGCCTTGCTAGAGCATTTTGCTCTGCTGTCTTTCTCTTGGGAGCCCTATGCTGTGGGGTGGGCAGGGGTCACATGGCCAGCATGGGACTCCTGAGGAAAAGGCAGTGGAGGAGAGTGGCCTGAGCAGAGGTGGCATTGGGAGGGGGGGCTTGAGAGGGCTACAGTCATCCCAAAATTTGCCTTAGCACCCCTATAGCCACCCTTCTCAGTGCTGCCGCTGTCTGCCCCCCGCAAGGGGAAGGGTCTGGAGCCACTCCTCCACACGAGGCTGGCCTTGAGCCTGCAGTGGGCAGCCCACATCCACCCCATGCACAAATCCAGGGGGGCATGTGACACCCCCCTCCAGTGTCTTCCCTGTGGGGTGGGGAGACAGCCATGGGGAGCTGCACTCCCTGGACAAGCAGCCTAGGGCTCCAACCTGCTTCCCGCCCCTGGCTCTGGGGTCCCATTCACTGCCTTGGCTCGGCAGTGCCCCCAGCCCCTGCACTACCTCCCACACCTTGTGGGGGGCCTCAGTCTGCCTCCGCTCCCCACTACACCCCTTCCCCTCCACAGACTTACTGCAAGGCGCTACTTTCCATGCTCTCCAGATACATTTCTGGCTACATGTGTGCTGCAGCTGTGCGCTCGCATGCTGTGTCCAGGGGCCCTGGCCAGAAGGCACATTATATTTATTGGTGACATTATTGGCTACAGCAGCTAAAAAAGGCCGATAAGGTTAATTTTCCTTTTATCGGTGCCAATCTGACATGCAACCAATATATCAGTACACCTCTATTTTCCATTCTTTGTCCTTAAATGTTGTTTAATTCAACTCAGAGTGTGATTAGGCAACAAATGGAACATACAGTCCCCCCACATTGCTATCAGCACCTGAGATGAGTTGGTGAATAATAATGTACTTCTGTCACTAGACGTGGCTTAAGAAGGAAGTTATCAGAGGCTGGTTCTTTACAGTGTTTTCTGACATAGGGTTGGACACAGGCTGCAGCGATGGCAAAGCTCCTTTATCGTGCTCTTCAAATTTGAGATAAGATGTCATGATAACCATCAGAGAAGGATTGTTTTCAGTTCTCAGATAAATAGTTCAAGATAAAGTAATACACAAACTAAGGAAGGGGGAGGAGGGGGAGAAAATAAACCATTGCGACAAAGGAATGAGAATCTTAAATGCAACTTCTGATGGACCATAAAAAAGCACGATAAGCAGTTGTTCAGTTTGCGGTAGAATCAAGAGGTCCGAAGTCAGGATCAGGGTCCCGTGGTACTATGTACTCCACAAACACACTTTTGGAAAGACTGCTCTGAAGAGTTTGGTTAAGATTGTCTTGTTTCAACAGTGTAAATGCAGACTAATTCCACCATCTGTAATGGAATTATATCGGATTTCACTCAGCAGAGTAAAGCAGGATATCCTATTGTTAATAGTAATAGTGACTGGTAATAACACCAGTGTTTACAGATATTGAAAATGTTAATTTCAAAACTCATATATTTTCAGAATGTTGTGTAAATTTATATTGAAATATAATAGAATAAGAGTGTATGACCGTACCTCTTGAGTATCTGTAAGTGCAAGGTACAAATCTTGTAGGACTTTCCAAGCAAGCACGATCTGTTTTATCAACTTTTATTCTTCATTTCAAGGTTGCTGATAGCCCTGTACAAGTGCTGTGATCTGAACATTTTTCTTGACATCCAAAAGATAGCTTAGTCACTTTGTCCTCCTCCTCCATTATTTTCCAGCTGGAAAGTTCCATATTGTGTATGGACAATAGAACTGTAAAGTAATGTTGTCTAGTTTGTCATTAATTCCTTTTAATCATAATCAAAAGGTCTCAGAAAGATAAGACAGATCTATAAAGGAGACACTAGCTCTTTGAGGACTCCCTGAGACCTCCAGATGCCGAAGTAGTTGTATATCATAAAAAAGCTATATCTTTCTATCTAACATGATAGCTAGATCTAATAAAAATAGAAAAAATATTTTCTTTGGGTTTATTCAGATAATATATTTACAATAAAAGCTCCATTAACCAGCACCTTACAAGCTGGCATGTTCTATTAACTGGCATCCGAGCTTGTAAGGTAAAGTGAAACTGGAAGTGCCCACCACGACACCTCTGGTTTCTGTGAGCTCCAATGGCAGGCTGCACGGGGCCGGCGGGAGGGGCAGCAAGAGAAGCGGCAGCCAAAACAGGCAAAAATGCCTGTTCGGGCCTCTCAGTTAACCGGCATATTTTGTTATCCTCCCCCACACCGTTTCACATGGGTGCCAGGTAACAAAGCTTTTACTGTATCATAGAATCATAGAAGTTGGGTCGGAAGGGACCTTG